GCTATTGATGCATGAAGCTCATTTCAGTATGTATTATAATAAATCCTAAACATGTGTTTGCATTTGCAATTCTCAAAGCCACAGCAATCGATCGGCTTTGACCATTTTAATAGTCGTTATTTTATATTGTCTTGATTTATACGTTGCCTCGTATTATCTATTGTACGTAGCACCAGCAAGTTTATGAGCCATTCTAGTTAATTAATATACATGCCCCAACCCTCTGATGTAAACCCTTCATAATTGCCCTCATATAAACTTGCATGCTAGTACTACATGCAAATAGATAATACGAGGCAATGTATAAAAAGACAAATTCAATTTAAATAAACAATATAAAATATTATTGAATAATGACTATTAAAATGGCCAAGCCCGATCGATTCCTGTGTCTTTGGGAATTACAAAAGCGAACACATTTTTAGGATTCATTATAATACAGGGTGTATCAAAAAAAACGCAACCTCGGAATTTCCCAAGAAATCGACATTGTTTTAAAGACAAAAGATTTTAGGCGCCCGGGAATTTAAAATAGCACAACTGTCAAAAGTACTGCACACGCGAGTGCATAAAGCAAAATTTATGCATTTATTTAATGCACAACAACAGTAATATGATCTATTAGCAATGCGATTTCAATTCCCAGGGGCCTAAAATCTTTTATGCTTAAGAATTGCAAAGTGATTTCTTAGGAAATTCCGAGGTTGCGTTTTTTTTTTTATACATTCTGTACATACCATTCTTTAATCGCATGAGCTTCATGCATCAACAGCCAAAGCACAAACCATTTTGCTATACGTACAATTTGTTGAAGCATTCGTTTCCATCGTTCGGTCTTCAACAATGACTCTGCATATAATACAGTCAGAATATTTCCATTCTTCCAATGCCTTCCCTTCTTTATCGCTCTCGATTCAACTTAATAATGACACAGCACTGACTCCTAGATCGTGTAGTTTTTTGACTTGATCTCGTATTGAATTTATCAACCGAAACCACGATTACTAAATGTTTACAATGTTTACAATTTGTTTAAATATTTAAATCCGAATATTACATCGAATAGCTTCGGTAACGGCGTGATAAATAAGGGATTTCCTGCGTCAGTTGTAAGATTTACGACAACATCCTTTTCGTTCATAATAGACTGAAAAGCCTTTTTCTAATGCGCAGTGTTAAAACTTTCAAATTTAAAAATACTACAGACTTGTTGATATAGCCCATGCGTGTGAAGGTCATTGAAGGCCGATCTTCCAATTATCGTGTAGATGATTGTGATTGGTTAATTGCCGGGAAGTCAAATGTATAGCGAATGTGAGCAGACGTTAGGTGAGGCCTCCGCCACTAACAACGTCTGCGCAGGAGGCTAGCCTATGATTTGATGAAGCCAAAATAGTTTTTCTGAGTTATGAGCAGAAATACTTGACCCCAAACGTTGGGCTATATATCAAATTGAAGCTATTGAAAATTGCTATTTGGTGTGGAAATTTCAAGACTTCAGCGAAAAGAAAAATATTTAAAAAATACAAAAACAACTGCAAAACGGCAAATTATCGGTAATTATGTTTGTAGTTTTTCAATATTTCCCTTTTAGCTATAGTCTTGAAATTTCTACACCAAATAGCGTTTTTCAATAGCTTCAATTTGATACATAGCCCAACGTTCAGTGTTGAGTATTTCTGCTCATAACTCAGAAAAACTAAAATGCACTGGCTTCAATTTCCCCCCCTGAGTTAGCCTTCCAGTTTATTTATAGTTCAATGGGTTGAGCGAGGCACATTTCGAGCGCGTCGTTTGGAAATTTTATAACGCTGGTTGATAAAATATATTTATATATGGCCAAGTTTTCTTAAAATATTTACGAAAATATGAAGAAATACTCCAATTTTTGAAGATTCACACAATAATATTAAATGTAAGTGCTAAACTATGTCAATATTTTGAAGTTTCGTGTGTAAATATGTGCCATAATTATAAATAGTTGTATTCATGTATATTTTTAGCCGCCGTGCCGTTGTCGCCTTTGTATTTTGTATTGGGTTCAACAATATATTGTTACTAAAATACATTAAAACTTAGTGATATTGCTATGTATTTACAGATTATAATTCCAAGCAATAAATACCGTCATAATATGTGATCCAAATAAGTCGAACTCGAGGTCGAACTGTCGAAATCATGACAAATGTATAAATAATGCACCTATCAATGTAAATCCCGTGGGGGGGGGGGGGAAGCCGGGACTAGGGAGGGGATTTGACAAAAATATGAGAAAACTAATCAAATGCCCGCAGGGGGGATGAAAATTCCGGTCAAATAAAGGTAACTTCCCCACCCACGGGAGAAGAGC